CGGGTGCAGGCAGGGCCCGGGGGAGGGCAGCGCCTGGGGGGGTCACAGGGTGCTCTCACCGTCCTGATGGCCCCCTTCTCCCCTGTGTGAGACTCTGTGCCCCTCCTTTTCTGTGCTTGCCCCGGGTTGTTTTTTGGGGGGGGGTCCCGGGTGGCCCTGACCAGTGATGCCTGGAGGAAGGGGGTATCCGCGGCATCAGCGTTGGGCTCTTCGTGTCTGCTCTGGTTCGCCCTCGCCTGGGTTTTAGGGGATCCTGGTTCTGGGTCGGTTTGCAATGGGGTGCGGATCCCATCTTGCATGGCAAGTTGCAGCTGGTTATTGCGGCTCCAGACGAGGAGCAGCAGAGCATGGAAAACCCCTGGTGTGGACGCTGAACGGGGCCGGTGTCTGGGATTTTCCAGAGGGGCAACTTAGGAGCCTTATCAGAGGCTGTCAGCAGCTTTGCCCTGGATTAAAGGTGCCTGCTTGGCCTCTGCCCCTGCACGGGTGGTGTCGGGTTGTGCGTGCCTGATTCTTCTCCTGCAGCGCTTCTGGTCCAGAGCTGGCGAGGCAGGAGTCCCGCGGGGCAGCATGAAACGCCCTTGGTGTCCTGCCTTAACTGCTTTACCACCCACAGAGGCCCCGGCGACCAGAGGGGTGGCCAAAACTTCACCACGTTCTGTATTCCACCCTGCTGCCCCGGGCTGGGGGGGAAGCAGTGCAGAGTTGAGCCAGATCAGCGCGGCTGGAGCAGGGGTTTGGTTTGCCCTCGGCCCCGGGATTAGCCTGGAGGGTGGATGCGGTCGCTCGCGGGCTGTTCCGCTGATCTTTGTGGTCTGGAGGGATCCGTTTGCAAGAGACGTGGAGCTGCAGCTCCCTGTCCTGCCTGGCTCGCTGCTCTGTTCCCCGCCAGCTGCATCGGTGGGACGGAGGCAGCTGCGGCAGCACAAACACCACCTTCTCCTTCTCTCCAGGAGTCTTATCCAGCTGTTCCCCCAATATGGTCTGTGGAGTCAGACGATCCGAACCTGGCAGCTATCCTGGAGAGGCTGGTGGAAGTCAGGAAAGGAAATACGCTGGTGAGGCGGTGCTGCCTGGGGAGAGGGGAGGGGTGGCGAGAGGCTGGCTGCTTCGGGAGGGTAAAATCCCTGCTGTGTGCCTCCAAGGGCCCAAGGCAGGGGTGCCTCTTGTCTCATAAGGGTTCGGGAAATTTGGGATGAGCAGCTCTGACTTCTCTTGAGTTTGATGCTGGGGCGTGATTTTTCCCCCCCGTGTCCACCGCTGCTTGGAGCAGGAAGGAGCGGCCTCTGGGCCTTCCCTCGCTCGTTTGTGAGGGAAAGCGTTGCAGCGCTGAGGACAGCTGAGGCTTAGCTTGGCGTGTGGGTCTCTGCGCTTCTCTGACGCTTGCCTGGTCTCCCGACAGCTTTTGCAGCACCTGAAGCGAATAATCTCTGACCTGTGCAAACTCTACAACCTCCCCCAACATCCAGATGTTGAAATGCTGGACCAGCCTCTGCCGGCAGAACAGGTGAGTGACTCGGGACAAGACTTTCTGAGCTCATAAAACAAGTTTCCTGGCGTTTGCTTTAGAGGCTGAGGCTTCCTAACCCCCAAAGGAGGAACGCAGCAGGTGAGGTGTTGATCTCCTCTCCCTGGGGTGGATTCCTGTCCCAGGCTGATGCCAGCCTGCTCTGTTGGGCCTTGGTGCTGTTTAGCTGCTCTGGTGTAGTTTCCTTTAAAGGTTCTTGGCTTCACTCTGCTTTTAACTTGGTTCTGCTTGTAAATCCCTGTTTAACCTTGCCTCAGAAGCGTCTGGGAAGGCAGGAGAGCATTGCCCCAGGAAGCTGACAGTGCGATTTTCATCTCTGTCCTTTTGTCCCTGCAGAGCACACAGGAAGAGGTGTCTTCTGAAGAGGAGGATGAAGAGATGCCAGAGGTAAGTGCCGCCTTGCTGTATGAGGAAGTACACTGGAGAGCTGAGCACGGGGAGATGCCTGCTGAAAGGTGTGAGGGCACAGGGATTGTGGCTGGGAGGAGCTCATGGAGTCTAGACAGGGAAGAGCCCGCTGTTTGGCTCAAAGGCTAGGTTGTTGTCAGTGTTTTGCTGCTGGGGACCCAGGTTCCTGAGCCAGATGGGAGCAATGTGTTTACAAACCACAGGGGACCACAGCAGCTGAGAGGTGTAGCCATGGCCTCCAAAGGCAGACGAGCTGAGGGTGGAGCCCCTTTGACAACTTCTCTCTCAGCTCGTGCTGCTGTGCTCTAGAGCCTGAAATTTACTCACAAGCGATGGGATTTCCGGGTTGCCATTGCTGGTGGGGAAATCACACCGTGAAAATGGGACTCCTGCAGTGAGGATTAGGTAGGATGGCTGAGTGTGCGAGCAAGCTAATTGGCAGGAGCAGCAGAGGCAGCCGTGCTTCACTGCAGGCTGAGAATATCGTGCTGCAAAACCCACAGGCTTCAGTTGTTTGGTTTGCAGTTTAGAGATCTCTGGAAGTGGGTGGAATAATCTTGAATCTCCATGGTGACGTTTAGTGATGCCTCGCACACTTCTGGGGTGAGAGGCACGGGCACCGAGTCAGCAGCACTGCAGAACCTGGGGGCAGGTCACTTAGCAGCAGCATGCCTAGCAGTTGTTGGGGTTTCAACAAAGTGAATAGCTTGCTAAATCAAGGCCAGCCTTTGCCAGGGTCCCCAGAGAAAATGAGGAGGCTTAAACTGGTACCAGCATAACCTTGCATATTTGCAAACTTGCTGCTTTGTGGCAAATTTGCGATGTGTGAGTCCTCGCTCTCCTGTGGGCTGGAAAAGAAATCCTCAGGAACCGAGCATCCCCCCTCATGCTTTCTGCCAACGCCATGCGTTGTTGTGCAGGGACAACGCTCTCGCTCAGAGCAAAGGTTTCTTGCTGAGCGGTTGGATTTGTTGGGCTGTCGGAAGAGCAGAGCAGCAGAGCCGTGCCCTGGTGCAGAGATGCATCACGCAGGTTAATCCACTCGAGGGATTTTCTACGAGGATCTGTTTTCCTGTGTGACAGTCTGAAAATGTCAAAGCCCTTCCAAAAATGCTGCTCATCCAGAATAGCAGCAGCTAGCCTGGAGAGGCCGAAGTAAACGCTTGTTCAGAGGATTTAATGCCAGCGCTGGAGCTGTGCGTGCCCACAGCCATTTGCAGGCAGCTTCCAGGTGGCTGAAACCTGTGTGCTGACACAGTGCAGTAGCTGCTGTGCATGGGGAGAGATCTCTGCAGTGGCCCCTGATCGCTGCAACTGTCTTTTCCCGATTATTAACATCGGGGTCTTGCACATGTCGGCCTGACGAGTGTTGTGGTGGAAAGGGGTGAGGGGCAGAGCCTCTGCCGGGGTTAGGGAGAGCATTGGGGGTGCGCTGTGCAGTGGAGAGCTGAGCTGATCTACAAAGAGCATCCAAGACATGCTGTGAAATGTCACCTCTTTTTGAGGAGAAAACATCCCACGCCACTGAATTTTGTGTGCGAGGGTCTCCTCTTGTGCTGCCAGCGAGCTGCGTTTGTGTTGGGTTTTTGCTTGTGAAGGGGGAACAACGCGGCCCAGCAGCACTGCGCTGAGCGTCTGCACTTTGTTCCAGCCTTCCAGAAACGTGGCATGGGGCTGCTTGAGCCACGTGCGTGCCGAGATGCAAGTGCCCTTCAGTTACATGGGGCTCGTCGGGGAGCATACGTAAGATTAATGGCTAATTATAAACAGGCGCGAGACTTGGCAGGGAAGAGTCCAGCGAACAAAGAGCTTGCGTGAGCCCAATTTAATTCTGGAAAGGGAAGTATGCCACTCTGCCTGCTGGCTTTGGTATGGGAGGGCAGCAGGGGCCCAGTGCCTGAAAATTCTTCACTGAGCATGCCCAGGCCTTGTCTTCCACCCTGTTTGTGCCTCAGATCAGGGCTTGGGACTTCCTGAGGAGGGAGAGTTGCACCGAGATTCCTTCCTGGTTCAGGACAGCTTCTGTCTGCAGTACCTGGAGCAGGGAGGAGCGAAGACGCGTCTCCTACTAGCTCTCCTCTCCCCTTCCCAGGACACTGAGGACTTGGACCACTACGAGATGAAAGAGGAAGAGCCAGCAGATGGGAAGAAGACAGAGGATGAAGGCATTGGGAAGGAAAACCTGGCCATTTTAGAGAAAATTAAAAAGAACCAGAGGCAAGATTACTTAAATGTACGTGTCACCTGGCGGGCGGGCGGGTTGGGGAAGCAGAGGGACCCAAGGGCAAGAGTGATGGGGGCACCTGGTAGCCCTAAATCAAAGGGGCCGTCTCTGGCCAAAGGTACAGCAGTGGCTCTCAGGGGCTGGCATGGCTGATGCAGAGAAGTCTGTGAACTGCCTCTGCAGCTCAGGGAAGTAAGCGTGGACCTCAGGTGCCCCCGAGGCATCAGTGCTACGTGGGGCAGCCTTCCTGCAGTGAGATCTGGGGTTCCCCTCTGCTCCCAGGAGCTGCACCTCACTTTGGGCCGTGGAGGTGGTTGGTGGGTTGTGCTTTTATACTCCTGGGCAGAAATTCTTAACGTAGTTGAGAGGGCACAGAGGTGTTTCTGCTGCAGCTGCGCTGCCTGGGGTGGCGTATTTGGGGCAAGGGAAGTTGCTGTAGGGGGAAAGGGGAAGACTGAGAGGGTGGGGGACATGGGAAGGTCTAGTTTAGAGGCTGGACAGGAGTTGTAGCTCAGGTGTTGGCCTCGTAGAGCAACGGCCATGGTGGGCGCAGTGCAACAATGCGACTTCCCTCCTCCCAAATTCCTCGTAGGGTGCAGTGTCTGGGTCTGTGCAGGCCACTGACCGGCTAATGAAGGAGCTCAGGGATATTTACCGATCACCAAGTTTCAAAGGCGGTAAGTACTGCAGGGAGCTCGAGGGAAGGGACTGCTGCTCCACTGTTCGTGCTGGGGTTTTCCTCATCGTCCTGGGTGGCACCTAACAGGCCTTAGAGCTGTTCTGCTCTTCTCAGCTGGGGAGAAGATCTCCGGCCTTTGGTGGTTGTGGCTCTGTCCAGAGCGAGCAAAACTGCCTTACTGTCTCTTCCCTGCCAGTGCTGGATGGGGGTGAGGAGCGTGCTGTGGGTGGGAGGATTGTCTGGCTTTGAGGGTGATGGTGCTCCTGCCCCTTCCCTGAGCCCAAGGACTCGGGAAGGAGCAGTCATAGGAAAACCGCTGCCTTCAGGATGGTCCTTCTGGATAAGTGCTGCTTTTCAGGGGGTTCTGTGCCAGGCTGAGGTTGCGCTGCAGGGCCAAGGGGATTTGAAATCTGGGTGGTTCCATCTCCTCTGGTAGTGACACACCTCTTCTCTGGCTTGC